TCCCATGTTATTACGGTGTATCCATAGAAATGGCCCACCCTGTATATCTAAAAATTTTGTAAACTGAAATTTCAATTCTCACTATTTCTTGGTATTTGATTCTACAATATTCAAATAGACATATTTGTTTTGCGAAGAACACCTTGTGCTAACGCTGCAAAGTAGAAAAGCTTTTTGCACACTGTAAACCTGTGCTTTACTGCTATCAGGAGTCCACATGAATCTATTGGTGTGCCATAGGTTGTCGCCTCTGGGTGTCCATAAAACAGCATCATTAGCAGGTGACAAAGAGCTTGTCCTTCCAGTGTTGCGACATTTTTCTGCAATTTGAAAACATCCAGGGAGTTAAAAATGCAGGTGGATGAGTGGAGAGTGGGTGTTTACCCATTGTGTTTCATCTAGAGAGAGTGGGAAGTGATCTGTTATCCTCTTACTGTACAGTATATACCGTGCACCTCTGAGAGCAAGCTAGCCCGTGAGTGTGTAGGTGTTTGTCAAGCTTTTTAGTGTTTCTCCCCTGTGAAATGAATTCTTTCTTTCATTAATTCTTAGGCATCTTTACATTTGAAAGTGCCACTCAGAGGGTGAGTGAAAGTGTTGGCGTGATGGAGGTGAAGGTTCTCAGGACGTCGGGGGCTCGAGGCCTGGTCGCCATTCCCTATCGAACCTTGGATGGAACCGCTAAGGGAGGGGAGGACTACGAAATGGCTGCAGGCAAGCTGGAGTTTCAGAATGATGAGACCATGTGAGTACCTCGCTGTTGTCTGCATGACATTTCATCCACCTTTGAACACCGTCCTGGTGTATTTTTTACATTTTGCGGTTGGTGTGACATCATATGGAGACTGGGACATTTTTGGATCAACAATGACGCCCTCACATTTCCTCTGTTTTCCTTCCTGTGATTGATTTCTATTCAGAAATTGCTGTGTAGGTTAATCAAGTATTCTGCTGTATAAATGGCTCTATTAGGTAGATAACAGTGTAATAATGTCACATTTCCAGGCAGGCTTCTCTGCATTAAATGCTTGCAAACACATGGGTGCACACATACACATTCATAAAATTGCTCTTGCGTCCTTGGGCGCATGCATTTTTAATATGCTGAAGTTAGCGGTGTTAAATTGACCAATACATAAAATGGTTGGGAATGCAGTTTCTCCAACGCCACTCGGGGCCCATAAAGCAAGCCCTCTGCGTACGTGTGTGTGTAAGAGTGTGTGTGGTTTCACATATCTATATGTATGAGGACCAATTAGACTTTTAGATGTAAGCGTGAGGACATCTGTGCATAATTTAAGAATATTTTATTAGATTGACAAGGTTACAGTGAATAAGGACTGAGCCAGGTGGTGTTATGACATCGGTGTGTTTTCAAAAGCTTTGTGTGTGTGTGTGTGTGTGTGTGTGTGTGTGTGTGTGTGTGTGAGGTTTAAGTTTAAACCTAGATTTATGTTTTTGACCCTTTGGGGGATATTTGCCTTCAAAGTTCTGCTTGAGAAGAACAATTATGACTTTGGAGTTAAGATTAGAACTAAATGTTGGATAAGGTGAAGGGCCGGTGTTCTATTTAGTGGTTTGCGATTGCAAAAGATTAGAATTTACAAATGAGCACAAACGTCTGACACCAGCAAACCTCTAAGCAGAGCGTCTTTAAAGCACAGGTCATAGCGTGTTCTTGTGCGTTTGGGACGGAGCGATGTGCTGATGGTGCAGTCACTGCTGCAAGGTCAGGGAGAGATGAAAGGGAGTGCGAGAGAAGCTAAAGCAAACGACAAGAGTTAAATGTAATCAAACAATGCAAACTGTAAAGCTGAGGCAGTCTTCTGAGAGCTGCTGTTATGTGAGCACAGGAGGTTAAATAGAAAGCTGGTATCAGTGGGTCTGAGACTGCAGCAGATCAGATTAGCTGAAAGTGAAACTATTGGTGGTGTGTTTGCTAAAGAGGATTAAAAAGATCACTTAGTAGAGTGTGTTTCAACCATGAGAGATTGCAACATTGTGGGTCAAGCATAAGCAGCAATGAGCGTCTTCCTCTGCTGGATGTAGATTAGTAGTGAAGGGCATGTTTTTATGAAGCATCGGAGAATAACTCAGTGTATATATGGGAGTCATGGAGTCATAGTTAATGTATTTAATATTCTTAAAGGAACTGCTACAGAACGTGCATATAAACGACTGCTGCAAAAACAAAAAGCTATTGATTCTGATTCTGCTGATCTACATCAACCAACAGTGTATGTTAGTTAGTTTAGAATGCTAAAGCCAAAGTCACACAAGCATAGAGTCCAGTCAGTCATGCACTGGTAACCACCACTCGCTATGGAAAAGTGTTGTCCCAGATCAGTTGGTGAGTGGTTGCAGGAGGTTGTTTGCAAGGTGAAAATGTTGGCAAAAAACAAAAACGCTACATCCAGATGAACCGAATCAACTTTTGGGGATTTCCTTAGCTTTTGCTACAGCTCTGTGGTTAGTTAGCAAGTGTCTGCTAGCAACCAAAGCACTTGCAAAAGAAGCTGAGATGCCTTCTGTGACTGAGACTGTGAGCTGAGGAGGAATGGAGGCAGTGTATAGTTTGCATCAAATACAAAAGCAAAAGCAAAGATGCTGAGAGGCCTTGAAGCTGTTGCTTCAGACGAGCAGGGTGACTGCTGGGGAAAGGAGGGTGTGGATCGATAATCCAATGTTTCCATGTAAAGGAGCGTGAGCCAGCTGAGCGAGGGATATGCTGGTGAGAAAGCCCCTGTGGTAAATTGATCTATCCATCCTGGCGTCTCCCGCCTCGCTCCTTCTATTCTTCACCTCTGCGTTTACTCCCCGACCCTAACCTTTCATCTCCTCGCTCTTTTCGCCGGTCAGCGCTTATAACTAATTTTTCCTTTGCTTTTTCTCCATGTGATATTGTTTTTTATACTTAAATAAGTCTATCCATCCACTTCTGATTCACGAGAAACCCAATCAGTTCTCGACTTTGGGTTTAAGGTGGCTCGATCTGCCCTCGTTATCAGTAACTGGCTCTTTCTCTTTACAGTTTTACCCCTTTCGTTCTCGTCTCACTCCCTCTCTCTCTTATTTCACTGATTCAGTCCGTGCTCACTTATTGTTCATCTTCTCTCGCTGCTGCCCCTCTCTGCGTGCTTTCTCTTTTCATCATTGTGCTTTTGAACTACTTGTCAAAAATCCTCCTGCACACTAATGTGAACCTGCTTTAATCTGCTGCACTCGTTTCTCCTTCTCCCTCTGCTTTCTGCCTTTGCCTCATCACATTTCTGTAGTTCATCATGTTTTCTCCATACTAATCTCTCACATATTTTCCTGGCATATTTTTAGATGAGTTTTCTCATGCCCTCCTCCTGCTTCTCCACCTTTTCCTCATACCTCACCTCCCATCACTCTCCTTTCTCACTTATCCCTCGCTTCTGCGCACCTTTGACTTCTCTTCATTTGCATCTTCCTTTCACCTTTTGCTTGTTTACATTGTCAGACTTTTCCTTCTCTTCTCCCTTCCTCTCGCTCTACCTGGCACCTTTATTTCCCTCCACCTTCTCTTCTTAATTACATCCTTCTCCCCATCTTCTCCAGCCAACATCGTAAGAACAGGGACTTGCTGCCAAAGCAATTCAGCTGGATCACAACCCAGACATAACTCAGTGTCCACACGCCTCCCTCCACTTCCTTGAGTTCTCCTCCAATCTGTGTAATTGTTTTGTTTACCCTCTTTCGCCTATATCCTGCATTTAAGCAACCCCACATTAATCTGTCATTCACGCTGTCTGCCGGAATGAGCTTTGCTTAAAGCTCAGGAAAACGGTAAAGCGGTGATAGGAGGAGAACGGACTGAGACGGGGGAAACATGACGAAGGGCGAGTCAGGTGCAGCTGAAAAAAATCTTGTGGGAAATCTAAAAGTTGCTGGAGCTGAACTGACAGGAGGAGAGGAAAAGCGAAGTGAAGAGAAGGAAGAGGCGCTTCCACTCGATTTCATTATAGAAGATAATGTAATGCTACGCTGAGCCCACAAAGGAAAAGCCCTTTTTTCTTTTGCCTCCCTACATCACAGATACTCCAAGAGGTCGTGCTGAAGGTGTCCGCTCTCAGAAGCCCAAGATGGAGCCTCCCTTTATTAAGCAAAACCATTTTTACACATTAATGTCAGTCGTGAGGAGAACTACTCAACCTGCACATCCTCTTAAAAGGAAGACGAAGAAGCAGCTTTCAGATTTCTGAAAATAAACCCAGATGATGTCATCATTCAAACAGAAATCCAGCTTTAAAAACCGGGTGTGTGCCGCTTGAAGGAGCCTGTCACGTATGAGGGCTCCCGCAGAAGCGAAGTGAAACTAAAACTTTAATGCAGCAAACACCTAAAGCTCTACCGTTACACTGCAAAGTACGTGACAGGAGAAAAATGACGAATGTGGCCACATACACGCGTAACACAAAAGCGACCGTGTTAGCCAGTTCTTGTATCACTTTCTGGGATGGAATACATCAGTGTTATGAGATACAGATGCACGTATCAATATTTAGATGTCTCAGTTGCATCAAGGCGTCGACCTAACAGCATAAGCAAGTCTGTGGGTGAGTCAAGTCGGACCTGAATACGGTGCTGTGCAGTTCACTCAGTCACATTCAATTAAATTTTATTCATATTGCACCAAATCACAGCAACAGTCACCTCAGTATTGTAAGGTAAAGACCCTGCAATTATGCAGAGAAAAAAACCCAAACAATCGAAGGACCCCTATGAGCAAGCACTTGGTGACAGTGGGAACAAAAAACTCCCTTTTAACACAGGAAAGGACAGCCATCTGCCATGACCAGTTGGGGGGGAGGAAGACAGGAGAAAAGACACACTGTTGAAGAGAGCCAGAGATTAATAATAAATAATGATTAAATCCAGAGTGATATGTAAACACAAATGGGAGGATCCAGTATATGTAAAAGTATATGTTACCCACCATAGCACTGTGCATCTACATTTCTTTACTGTCTGGACTCCCATTAAATGCTGCAGCAATTAATTAATTCTCTCTCTGTTCAGCTAATTAATGAATGAATGTTTTTTTTTAATTACCCTTTTGTTTTTCCCCATCGGACTTCACAAGCTTTGCTCCGTTTTCTGTCTGCAGGTCTTTATCTGCCGCCTCTGCCTTTGGTAGGCCTTTGTTAATCAGAGGGCGTGTGAGTACTATATACAGAAGCAGGAAAGAGAGGGGTACGCTCAGTAGGGTCTGTTTATTCTTAGCCTCCCTATGACCTGCAGCTTAGTGCAGATTCACAGCCAAGCTGCAGAAAAATGTGTGTGCGTGCGTCTGTGGCTGTGTTTGCGTGTGGTCCACTCCCCTGGCTGCTCATTATAAATTTGAAACAGGTGTCGCCACCGAACTGTGCCAACGCCTGTTCAATTACTGCCTCGCACTGTGTGTGTGCATGTGTGCATATAGTGTGCACTCACTTTACATACCAAAGCATCCTTACCATTTCTGGGACTTTTTTAAAGTATGTGAGCATATGAATGATGAGGTATTTAACTTCGACTGAGTTCTGAAAAATGCTCTGCAGCATATGTGTTATGGGTTGTTGTTGTTTTTTGTTTTGTTTTTTTTTTGGGGGGGGGGTCATTGTTTTGTTTTGTTTTGTATGGTAGCTGGGATAGGCTCCCAAGATCCCCCTCCCTGCTTTACCCTGATAAGGATAGGTGGAAGAGGATGGATGGATGTTGGTTTTGTGTGTGTGAACTCCA